GACCATCCCATAGATGCATCCAGTTCAACACAACGCCATATTTTTGTGGGAGTTCTTTCTGGTGGAATTTTTTTTAGAATAGTTGTCGAGACTTGAACCTAATCATGAACAAAACCTTAAAGTGAGATGTACTTTAGATGGTATTACTACATTCATCACATTTCTGTATATCTTATGATTGAAGCTTGAATTGTTTTAACACGAGGGTGCTGTCTACGTTAAAACAGCTTATACATAGTTCATTTCTCACAGATCTCTAAAAAAAGGCTCTTCTGAATAGATTCAACTCAACATGACCCCTATTTACTAGTACCAAGGATCAATGGATGATCCCCAATGAACTGTTGCCGCTGTATTTGATAGAGTATCGAACCCAAACAGGGTGATATTTTACATAGACAATGGCATGGGAGGGGCGAACAGCACACACACTGGGCATTATTAGAGCAGGGTGGTCATCGGAATAACTACCTAGGCGGGGGGAGGACAGTATATCACACTGTACCAAGCAGTCGTTCCTGTCCCTCACGGCCTCGCTAGTCTAAAACTAGGGACAGACATGTGGGCGTAAATATTGTAGGGAGAACTTAAAACAACACGTTGAAAACTTCAGATCATTATGAAAGGAGCGAATACACATCACTTAGCTATAGGCAAAACAACGTTAATGTTAAAGCTTTAGAAAATATGTTGCCAATATTTATTTGTGTATGTACACTGCGTATTTGCTACAATTCATGTATACGACTAACGAGTATCATAGATTTTCACAATAATTGGGGGGAGGATTTATGTACTTTTTCACATCAAGCCTTAATAAGTCTCTCAGTGCCAGCAGTTGAATTCGGCCCACCTTGATGGCGTGGCTTTAGAATGGATCACAATAAAGCCAGCCACCGGCGTGCTTCATACACAACATAGCGGGAAGAATAGTTGTCACGCCGCCTGTTTTATTGGACGCCACCATTCTGACCCCGGGTGGTTTATGGAATGGCGTTCCGGCCGAGTTGTTTTTATGCTGATGGTGAATTCCGGCGTGAATAATGTGTTTGCTGCTGATGCAGTCAACGTATGATCATTTTCTGTCGTCTGAAGGCGTACTAAGCTTACAAATTCAATTATGTCACCTTTTCACCTTTTTTGTAATCAATAAAGGTGTTATTTTGGTGTTTCAAATGTCGAGGCAGGGTAGGAAATCCAGATATTCTTCTTTGCATCAAGGACATTATATCAAGAAGCTCCTTGTTTGCATGGAAAATAAAGGTATTGGTTGCCCAGAAGTGGGTAAATTTCAATGCCTCAAGAGAAGAAGTCAAACCCAGCAAAATTAGTACTACGTATGTTGTAGGATGTAGTATAATGTTAGACGTAGTCTTTCATACCATTGTATGTTTTTTTCTATACATGTTGTTTGTGCCTGCAATTAGCCCTCGGGCATGTTTTCAATAAACTTTCCGATTGAAGCAGCACTATACGACAATACGATTGATACACGTTCTAACGGCAATAATAACCTCACGTGTTACATTAGATGGCCCCGTGTTGACTTTCCTCCCGTCATTTTATGGCGTGAAGTATTGGAAAACGCCACCCGGCCCTGGGGTGTCCGCTGAGGAATGGCCGACCCTCCGGAAATTGGACCAGGGCTCGATTTGTGGCAAGTACCGGTCGCCGCACGCGCAGCTGCCAGTCAATAAAAAAACGGACTTAATGTTGCAATTCTCATGTTTTGATGGAGGCGGTGGTAATTTGAGGAAGTTTTACCACAGCGGGCATCGATTGTCGGTAAAGCCAGTGTGCAAAAGTGATGAAGTGTTCAATATCCACGCGGACCTACCTCGATCAATGTGCTACAATGACCGGGCGGAATTATACATGGACCTGTTTAACGTTTGTACGTATATTTACGCACAGAAAATCTGAACCACTAAGCACCACTTTGCAGATGTTGCCATTTGACGTCTTTTACGTATATGTGTTCACTAGTTTTAAAGATCATACATATGTAGGACAATAATAATTATTTTCAAAATCTTGACTGGGGGCTAATTACTTGTACAGTAAAGCAAAGCAATAGGAGACATACAAACACAGCCCGATCAATTTATATTATTTTTAGAACTTTAGCAATTATCATATGCTTTAGGGAACTTAAAATCACAAAGTCTCCTGCTAGAAAGATTGTCATTGTGTTGTGGTCGGGTTCTTCTTTCAAAACATGTACGGGGGGGGGGGGGGCATTGGAGGCCACCAATAATACTTGCCAGCCAATGGCATGTAAAATACAACACATCACGACTAACGCACGCCGTATCCAGCTAAACGGACCTTTTTCCCCCGCTCGTAAAATTCCCGCCCGGAGCAGTTATGTGCTTCTCCACGATAAAAGCCCCATCAGAGCCCGATTAGCGCCGCCGTACCTCACCACGACTCGGTACACGGCGGCTCGCCGGGGGAGATGGTGGGGAGGGGGGCTATTCTCCAAGCAAAGGTTTGGGTTTTGGCTTGTTTTTGGCGTGTTTTAGGCTTTTTTTATCGGGCTTTCTTTTTTGCACTGGTATTTGGGTTGGGTTGGCGTAAAAGAAAATGCCACTGCAAAAAAGAAAGCCCGATAAAAAAGCCTAAAACACGCTAAAAATAAGCCAAAACCCAAACCTCTGCTTGGGGAGTAGAGGGGCGCCCTGTCGGGAAACAAACCGAGCAGCACGACGCTTCTACAGTCGCATATGGAGGAAAGCTAACGTAAATAATGGATAGCGCAGGGTGCACAAGGCTGCGAATTACAATTAATTGCTCATTGTGTTTGAACGTAGGGGGCGTTTTAAAGCATCATTTTCCATTCAAAACGGTATTTATTTGTGATAGATGATGTTAATCAGATAAATCAGATTTATTATACATTCATGCCCTATCGGGCTAAGTATAGGTGATATATATATATAGATGGTATATACATGTTTGTAGTACAAACAGGACTATTGATGCTAATCTAACTACATTAGCTATAAAACTACTCTAATAGAGTAGAGAAGACGTTCAAATGTAATGTGCAATAACGAAATTGACGTATATACATTTAGCAAAAAGTTAAACTTTGGGAGATACATTGTAGTTAGGTACGCAGTCATACCACTATTATTCTTACTGTCCCCAGAAAGTGATATAACAAAATTGTACAGTTAGCACCTTAAGAAATTCATAGTTGAATGTTTTACTTGCGCATGCCATTGCAAAATATGCTCCTTTGTGGTACGATAAAACGCTGCGAGGAAGAATTAATTAGCTTTTATGGTCGCTGTCATGAAACAATATTGATGTCCTCTGACAGTCCTAACCAGCAATGATTTATTCCTCACCACACGTGGCTTTAGTCGTTTCAAACGTAACGAGTTAAACACGCGTGATAAATACCAGAGGGCGTATGCCATGAATATTTCAACACATGAAAAATAAAAGAGTTAATTTCGATGGACATTCAAAATTGATGACGACGACTGATCCCCAAATTTCACACCGTGTTGCGTTACTTTCTTGTCCTCAAGCGCCCGAGGACGTTTTGAGTTGCCAAACGCCTAAAACTCAAGAATTACAAGCCTGGATTCTCAAGAGGCCCTCATGAAGAATATCAAAGAGTAACCTACGAATACATTTTAGTATACCGTGAGAAGCGAACTGCATTGGGAGCTTACCGAAGCGTTTTGAACAGTCGATGATGAATGTTGTGTGTTAGTATAGTTTGACAAGGAAGATCATGAAAAAACGGAAGACGAAAAGGATTTGTCAAAAAAACTTGCTACTCCTTTAGGTTCATTTACTTTTCTAGTATTTCAGCTCAAGTTGCAAGCGTTGTGCGGTTTATTTTGTGTCGTACGAGTTTTAGCAAGACTTCGGATTGATCCAAGGATACAATATGTCAGCAGCCTTGCTGTATACGAAAGCTGCCATTCGTGTAGTACATCCACGACTGTTGTAAATCTGTCGTACGACGAATGTACCGACGAATAGTTGTGAACAGTTGTGAATAGTTATCTTTTCAGCATAACGACGCCGTTGGCCGTAGCCCGTTCCCGACATATTCACAAATATCGTATAACCAAGGCCGCCTGCAAATGGACCATTTTAAGGTCCGGTGCACGATAAAACGATGCGAGTGCCAAATAATCGAGGCCTGACTGCTTAAGATAATGACTTAACTAGGCTAGCGCTTACCCATTTAGGGTTAAAGCACCACACATACACACAAATACATTCAATACACAGTAGAAATTGGCCAGATAGGGAGGGGAGTTGGTCCGCAAGAGAGTACCGTGCCACATACTCTCTCTAGGAGACCAACTCCTTGGCATGTTATCTCTCGTTTTGACCAATTTCTACTCTTTCCAACCGCCTCCTGCCTCCCGAAGCCTGGTAGAGGCTAACCACAACCTACCTTTTTGCGAACAAGACTCCCCCAGGTTATCTTTCTCATCAACAAGAAGTGACTATAAACACGCAGACGTGGCAATATCTGTTTGCATCCGGGTGTACTAGTCGTTTTCAAAATATAAGTAGGATCTATTTAAATTACTACCGACCCGTATAACGTATAACGTTGATATGTAGAAATCCGCTGGAAAATGTTACTAGTACCGTAATGCTTATTTTCGTCCTTGTTATTTGTGTAAATCACCACACATGTTGAGACAAGGGCACAAGGGCAAGATACACACATCCACAAAACATTAGTCATTACTTTCTTTTCGCCTTCAATTGATGGCCTCGGCAAAATGTACTGCAGGTGAGATAGTCCTTCATCGTAATATGCTGCTTCACCATCAAAGCAAAAACATTGCACCAAGAGAACCAGCCAAATCATTTCCATTAGGCACTGCTTCTTAATCTTCTGTGCTGCCTTAGCTTTAACCTTAACGTTCAGAGGAACAGGTGGTTAATGTGAGATATGAGGAGAGACGATCCTTAAGGAGGCGTGTGGATGCTATAAGACGTGTGGATGGGCTCACCTTTAGTTGAGAAGGTTGTCTTGCTTTTCAGCTCAGTGCCCGCTCCGTCGCACGTTACGGGAAGGTCGGGGATTCCTGTGGTTGATCCGGGGTTCCTCGACGGTGTGGAAATACGCGGGGTTTTTCACGGCTGCGGATCGATTATCAATAAAGCCGGGACGATTTGTCTTCCGGGGCGGTGCAGGGCGCGTTCCGGGGCGGTGTCTTCCGGGGCGGTGCAGGGCGCGTTCAGAGGCGGTGTCTTTTCGGGCAATACGGGGCGCGGGGCGAGTTCAGAAGTTTCCGAGTCTAGTCAACCCTTCCAAAATGGGAATTAAATGCACGATGGTGTATGTATGTCGGTTTCTCACACCAAAATATTGAAGGCCCGCTTTCCACTATACACCGTGAGTGAAGAAAATTGGATATGATTGAACCATGACTTGATGAACTGAATACGGTCCATGATGTATTTTTTAAACAATAAAACGCACAAAACATATAAAATGTACAATATTCTGCTTGCAGATTTACATTTCGGTTGAAACATCATCTTCCAAGGCCCACACCGTAAGCGGATGTTGTAAGCCGACAGGTGCCTAGAATAAATGACGTTGAACAGCTTAACCCCCAACAGCTGCTGCTTGTATTAGGAGAATGGCATGCAGACAACAGACTCTTACGTACCGCCTTTTCGGGCATTTTACCTTTTACTGTTGTCCTTACTGTTTGCAAACTTCGCATACACATAACAGGAATCAGTGCCAGTGACCGTTCAATTGACAGGGCTTGGAAACGGTCATGGTAGAATACGCGGTGTCATGTACAATAAAACGGGCCTTTGTATACTCTTCCATGTATGTAAGCGTGTGAGAAGGTTGTGATTGGTTCCGTTTTCACAGTACAATCGTCATGCGATCAAACTGCAGCTGGGGGCATTTCTGGAATAATCGTACAACTTGCGATGTCCTATAGTTGTCTTGCTCCGGAACGGCTGTCTTTGACCCTTCTCCTTCTATAACAGCGTACAAGTCTACCGCATCGATATTGTACGAAGGCGCACGTGATGTTTTTCAGGTATCTGCGAAACCCACTGGCGACCCTTCTACAAGTCATCTGGCGGGTACTGTACAATGTACGCCCGTGCCGCTGCGGCATTGGTGTGCAGACCCACAGGCGGTGGTGACTTGCGGCTCAGCCGTTAATTCCGACATTATTTCCCCTGCAGTCTAAATGGTTTGTGCAGTCAGAAGGCAGGGAGAGTGCATCAATCAATACCGCCTGCAGATGCCCACCTGCCCGAGGTTCACTTCCGGAAAGGGACGTCTTTTCTTTTACACTGCCCTTTATATAATCAACAAAGAGTCACCCTACTCAGCAATCTCCAGAATTTGGTAGGCTTTGATTTTGATGTTTTCAATATGTCTGAACAATTGTTATGTGATATTTTACTTAGAGATTACCTGATTTATACTATGATACAAACTGTAATATCTTGCTAACCACTCAAACTTATATTGTTGATACCAAACGGTTTGTACTCGATTGATTTATTATATAGCCTACTAAACATTTCTTTGTACTATTTAACGACCCATCCCACCCATTTGCTGTTCTCTGTTTTTTGTTATGTACTGTAATTGTATTCTATGTTTGGTGGTGCTACAGCTAGAGTACCTCACCACCTTGTCTTGTATTGTCCTTGTTGAATTTGCAAAATAAAAAAAAAAAAAAGGGACGTCTTTTCTTTGGGGTTTTCCCCCCAGGAAACATTGAAAAAAAGCCATCAGGCGATATGTATTTCCTGGCTAAAGAAATAAAACAAACAAACTTCGACGAAGAGAGGTCAACAAACTGAGATTTTAGCGTATCTTTAAGTAGATAGAAGTGCGATACGCATAGTGGTATGCTACCTTATACGTTAACGTTAAATTATGAATTCCAGCTAAATATATCATACAAACAAGTATACATATCATAGATACTAGTTTAACATTTTGGTGGGTTTTAATCAATGTGGTATCGATTCCTCTGTGTATGTCACGTAAATCAAGTTTCAAGTTTTATTAATAAAATCAGCCTTGCAGCCCGTTTACAAAGTCGACCAAGCTGAATTACACTGATTTTTACAAATTTTGTGCATAGTAGATACAAATACACATTTACATGACAATACATATACAGACACACAAACGAACATGTTACAAAGTATGTGTGAAAAAATGTGTGAAGCTTGAATATTCCTGGGTCTATTTCAATGAAAATCAAGTCTCCTGCATTTACGCTTCTCCTGAATCACGACCTACCTAAATAATCCAAGTCACCCTCCATTTACATTTGTAACATTTATCTTTCCTAATTGAAAAGCTTTTTCCTGTGCCCTTCCCTCCGTTACAGCACCCGACCTCCAGAAACCAATTTTCTCCTGATTATAAATCTCACATTACCTCCCCTCCGTTAGCAAGATCCATCTCTTAACCTACATAATCCAACATTTAGATGGCTATCCGGACTGGAAAGTACCCTTTAAATGCCGCCTGTTGGTGTTTTAAAGATGGCGTCAGTTGGAAGAGGCCAGGTCAACTCATCCGAAAACATCGTTTGATGTATCCGACTGCAGGAAAGGTCCCTGCCCCTGTCATAGCAACACTCCCAAAAGATTCTCTTTGAACATCAAAATGATGCGGTTTAAAACGTACATCTGTTGTATAATGATAACTACTCATTACATTCCACCCATCGGTTTCAACTTTCCAGTTCCGCAACAATCATAGTCATACGCTGCTTTTGATCTCTGCGGTTAGCATTTTAGCTGTGTCCTTCAGCCGCTTGAAGTGTGCATGGATTTCATGGGATGCGCTCTGCATGGCCCGACCCATTTCTAAATCGACAAGAACAAAGTAAAAAACAAATCCACCAAGCATGCAATCGACTGAACGTTCCGTTTTCAGCATGCAGGTATCCCCGTGGAAATCATCAAATCTTCATCTTATAGGTTTTATCTAAAGTGTAGGGGCCAAAGAGCACAAGTCAAAATTCGTACCTATACGAGTGTGTGTCAACGCTATTCGCACGGTATAAAGCGGTTGGTAGGTTCTTCCTAATGTTTGCCCACGTCAAGAGCGATAGCTCCACACAAGGAAAGTTTCTTCTAAAGACTAACACGTACAGAGTAGTATGTTGTTAGTAGATGGCTTGAGATAGGTGAACGGCAAGGTTTAACTATTGAGTAACTGTGCACTATGAGTTGTGGAATATCTGATGTGATTCGTAGACATACTTTTCCATACGTTGATGGGGAAACATTGTTAAATGGAGAAAGGATATTTCCATATCGTCTCAGATAATTGATAGACGTGGTAAACCATCGTGGTCGTGGACAAAGAGTCTCTCCTTTCTGACTCAACCGTCTCCCTTACGCCATCTACCGGCATACTCCGTAGATGCATCTGTGATGAGGCGAGAGGACTGAGAATTTCGTAGTTTGTGTAGAAAGTGCAAGAGGGCGCTTTGATTGACAAAAGTAAGTCACAACCATTTCAACAACGACGCTCACATCTAGCTAAATTATATGCTTTAACAAAAGCAGTTACGAGCGTGTCGATGGTAATAAAGGGTCATAAAGACATGGGTGGAACTGGTAAATTAACCCCTTAACTTGTTGTCAAGCGAAACCACCCACGCCCACCCACGATAGAACATTCGCCGGCAATTGCTTGGTCTCACTGCATCTGATACGGCCTTTGTCCTACGACTTTTCACTTCCATTCTGCCACAGGAAACATTGACTACTGTGTAGTTTCCGCGTGACGTTGATGTAAGCTGTGTTGTGTGTTTGTCGATTTGGTTCAATATACATGGCAATGCCACCTGCTATTCTCCTGCATAGACGCTAAATTACGCGTCGTTTTAGGCATCTTTACATTAATTAAATAAGAAGTAATAAAAACATGTACATTGTAAAAGGTACAGAAATGGTACAATATGCACCACTGTTATGTGGTGCACTATAGCAAACGTGTAGAAACATAAGACGTCACTCGGGTCAGTGAGTGGGAGGCAAAAGGCGGGTGACGATTGGGTGATCAATAATTTGCATATGTCTGCAAATAATTTGCATATATATGATGTAAAGAAAAACAGCGATCGCTCGTATACGGTAGGTAATCAATAATTTGAGGACTTCCTTGTTTATAAATGTATTCGACATTTCGGGAGCTATACTTGGTACAATACGCGGTATTCAAGATAATAGTAGTGCGACTTGGATTTTTCTCAGCTACATTCTTCACTGCATTTAGTTGTATCTCTAACAACTTGCCGCGATCAGTGGGAGGGGGGCACAATGTAGTATCTCTATATGTATATCTCTAAATCATAGTGGATGGCTGACCATCGAATCAGCAACGAAACGAGCTGCTTTGAACGTGACACTTAATTATGACTATATAAGATAAAACAATACATCGATATTAGTATTTATGAACTACAGTGTTTGATGTATTTTTTTTTTATTTTATTCACATGGATTTTTGAGCATTGGATAGGAAGCACTTGTTGTGCTTATGTGAATCCGCTGCTCATAAAAACATAATACAAATGTAAACATAAAGATGACATAAAGTATAACATAAACATAAAATGAAAGTGGCTGGCGCACCAATACCTATAGCATAACATTAATGAGATTGGTTAAATCTTCCAGAGTGGTGGATATAGTTGAACACAATATCAAAGATACGGCAGTTAGTAGGGTATTTTGTTTCTATTTAAAACGGTACCGCCAAAGTGGGGAGGGAGGCACACGGAATTTTGAAGACTTGGCATATATTTCAAGTATATATTAGCCCCGCTGGTGGAGTTTTGTTATAAAAGACATTCTAGCATTTGGTGCATATTCTCCGCTAGCTTTTTATTTTAAGACAGGTATACATTTCTTATTTGCTTATTTGATTCATCATTCTTAGTAGGCAGTGCGGATGGCTTCCTTATTATTCAATCCAAGTGGAATATTCAATCATACACATGTATGCCTTCTGTCACTTCACTCAAAGTTTGAAAATAAAAAAAGTTTTTGTTATTCATTATTTCACACACAAAAAGTCGGCGGAACTTCATGCACAACAAAGACAATTTCAGAATGATTGCATCCTTCCCTCAGGCGGACGATCAGCGGGCTTCACCCATTCCCCGGGGATTGGACCTCATCCCGGCACGTCAGCGCGCGTGACACGGTCCTCCCGTCACACCAGCCGCCGACCTTTCCACAAACCGTGCCACATCCGGGGCGTGAGAGCGGCGGCGTCACCTGATGCGCACGCGGTAGGTGTGACGTGACTGGGATGAGAGATGTCAATGATGTGTGACCCATAAGTACATGCGGCGTGGCAGTCTTGACTTTTATCTTTAACCAGGGGAATCAGTTATGCTTTCCACAGGCCTAGGTTTGTGTGGGTACTCACTTTGGATCACAGTTCTTTGATCTGGTTAGAGTATATCACATTTCTCACCGCTTATTGGTCCACAGTTTGAAAACCGGAGGTCCTGAAGACTTGAAATACATCAATGATATCACATTTTGGGAGAAAGTGATGTCCAAATTAACACATTCTTAAGAAGTATTTTTCATGAAAGTGTATGACGTTACTGTTAATTGTGTGTGAGAGCAATTTTGTTAAACTCTACAGTTATAGCATCATAACCACATCGGATGTTTTTTCTCTTATAACCTTTGCCATGCACGCTGACAGCAGAAACTGAAATTAATGCCGATGAACAGGCAATGAAACACACAAGTTCTAGAAATCCTTGTTATGATACATTGATGTGAAAACAAATATACAGACACATTTTTAGGTTTTACGTAAATCCTGATAGAACATTCTATTTCTTTCAGCAGATATTTTACATGCTTCTTTAGAGAAATGAGGAAGAAAATGAAGAAAAGAGGAAAAAAGGTAAGTAAGTTTTTTTAGAATATTCATATTGTCCTTGCCGCAGGTTCCATGTGCCAAATGTTTTATGTACCGCCAGTGCGCGCAATCCGGAGGATTGGTTGGTTACGCTCTAAGCCATATAAGTCAGTTTCCAAACTTCCGCCAATTTTCAGACGGACGCGGGGACCGTTTTTACGGCCGGATGATGGCGACCTTATTCTGTCACGGTGCGGTGACGCATGGGGACGGTCGCAAACTTTTTCATTTTCCTTCGATAAAAGTGAAAAAGTTGAGCAGCAAAGGAAGCGTGACAGACCAGCACTGCACTGGGTCCCTTACTGGGGCGGCCCTGATTCGATTTTTACTAGCGTATTTTTTTTCTAGATAAATTTCATGTCTTGAGGAAGACGTCTTTGACTTTAAGGTAGCTACCGCTCTTCAACACCATTGTAGGGATTCAAGATAATCTTCACTGAACCACTAGATCAAGCTTCTAAAAGTTTGCAACCATAAGATAAAATACTAATCAAATATCTTGGGATATGGGTGTACCATTGAGCTTTCTATCCTCCATCCTTATATCCCATCCTCGTCATGAGAGTTGGGCAGTACGGTTGCATCCAGCATCAGCCTCCTCCATCCTTCTCTGTCATCTGCTCGCTGTGTACATTCTGTTTAGTCCCCGTCACACGTTCAGGACCTTTACCCGACCTTGCCCCCGAAAACCAACCGACCAAGGTTGGCCGAAGTTCGGGAGCAGTCTGACCAGATTTAGCTAGGCCAAGCCTACCTTTCTGTACGAATCGAATTCGTGTGAAACTTTGGTGAAATGGAACCCCTGATCACGCCTTGGTCCCGACCTACTCCTAACCCTGGTTGGGGAAGTTCGGCTAGTGTTCAGGATGCCATTTTCGGCTACGTGTGATAGGGGCTTTGGAGACCCATCAGTCCAGTCTTTGATGTAATCTTTCCATCTCCTGCATTGCCTCCCTCTACCCCTGGTGCCAGTTGGAGTTCTAAACCAGTGTTGGGATTCCCTTTTACCGGAACCTAAAAGGGATTTCTGAGATTGATTGATTGATTGATAAAGATTGTCTAAGAAAAGAACTGTGTTTGGGTAGCTGTTACCTAGTGTTGGAATGACCATATGTATCACTATTGTAACTTTTTCTACAAGTTACAATGGAGATATGAACGACCGAAATCAAGTTCCCCAACTTTGGATGTTACTTTTAGTACATTCAGCCTGTTATTTTTAGATAAGAAAAGTTGCTTAGTATACTTTGCAACTCTCTTCGATCACATATCACCAGTATCCACGGTCTTTATTCGATGCTATCCCGCCCACTTCCTTTTAACTGTGACGGGACGGGGGCGCGTTTCCGTTAAGAATAAAGTGTTAAAACACCCTCATGTACATTTTCTTGGAGGATAAAATGCATTTAACAATTGTTTTTCCCCGGCCAACTATTTTTGGGTTTCCTCCGTGAAAGGTTAAGTATGATTGGAATCTGCCTGTCCGATGTGCTTCAACCACTCCGAGTCACATGCACTTTCCTACAGTACAGTCGTTAAAAAGTGGAAGTTCTTTTCTTTAAAAAACAAGCGGAAGTGGCTTGGTTATGGGGATATGCAGCATTAAAGTATAGAATCCGCATGCGCTTTACGGCAAGAGTTGTGCCCATTGGGAATAGTTCGTCACGTTCCTGGTGAGAAAGGCGCGGGGATGTCTGCCGGGAAGGTGCTAATGTATGCGGGCTGAGGACGTCAGAGGTTCGCACCCTCACACCTGCTGCCCACGGCCACGCCTCCCGGGCTGACGTAACACCTACACCTGCTTATATGTACCCTCATCACTGGCCGGGCAAAGAAGGAAAGAAGGGACCACCGCTGCTGAAGCAAGGACAACACCTCAGTTTGGGCGGCTGGGAAAAAGAGAGGAGAGTGATACTTCAGAAGAAGGTAGGACATTTTTTTCTTAATATTTGAAGTAAAAAAGGATCCGGTACTGAGCTTTGAGGATCATTTTCTTTCTGTTGGTCAGTATTTATGTTGTTTGCATTTCTACACTCCAAAGCAGTAACAAAATCTCTGGTGGTAGATTTACAAAACTTATATGCGCATGCAGTCTTGTCGTTGTGGTCTGAAGTCTACCGTCAAATCAATAGTTTATATAGACAGAGTAACATACAAAAAGAGGTACACATCTTTGCATGTAATGTTTGTGTCATTCAATCCAGTTCCGACTGGTTTCAACCGGAATCACAGAAAGTCTCCAGAGTAACGAACCGAACGGATTCCCACGGTTTAGAGTCATAATTTTCTTTGACTGACAACACAAAATCAGCTTGCCTTTTGTGGTCACAATAGGTAAACATTAGTGTTACTTTTATCATCAAGAATGGCGTCTTTGGCTGATTTTTCATATGTGATGCATTCGTTTTAGTCGCAAATTGAGTGGCATTAAAACACCATTGAGCAGAGAGCAGAAGATGTCAACATTGAGTAGAAGATGTTTCTCACAGGCTGAAAAGTATCTTTCACATTGTTTGGGATTTGAACTGTTGAAATAACAAATATACTGAAGTCGCGTCAGATGTGCAAGTGACTTAGTTGATTTTCACCCACAGCAAGTGCTCCCTCATCGAATATTTAGCATTCATACTATTGTGTAATGTCATTACAGCAAAAAAAGATTTTAAATATCCAAAACTGGATGCGCAAGAATTGCAATTACATGTAACATTAAGTGAAGTTTTCATAAACTTTCCGAATGCTTCCGTGCGTAACATGCCCGAATGTCGCTCTGGTGAGAAAAAAGCCCCTACTCTTGTGATTGAAAAAGACGTCCGCACATTAACACGCAAATAGAAAATGTCAAAGTGACGAAAACATGGTAACATGTATGTGACACTCCGTGTTCAAACGGTGGATGGATGGAGCTGATTTGATTTGATTTATGAAACTGTATTAAACAAATATACAGCCAGGACTGCCCAACCAGCCGGAGGCTATTATAAAGGGCTAGCCTGGACGCGATTCTTGAAGATTATGATAAATCCTTCAGTCGTAAAGGGTGCAGCGGTGTCAAACCTGTCGCAACCTGCAAGGCCGTGATACATTTTTGTAACACTTCGGCTTGACACCTTCCGATCCAGCACTCCTTCACAGGGACGGTGTGCGTTCGCTGTTGATGAACAGCTTTCCTGGGTGATGCTAAGTCCGGATGTTACACCGCGGATCACAGATTCACTCAACCGGCTACAATATCCAGAATATCGATTGAAATTTTTAAAGAGTTTTAAAGCCTTTTCAAAGCCTTTTTCAACATTACAATATCCCTCTGAGAAGACGCCTGTGGCTGTACACGAAAAGACGTTCTCCCAGCTTGCCAAGTTTCATTTTTCCATTGAGCGCAAATCAAACTACTCAAACTCTAAAACCTGACTTGAGCATGCAAAACGGGGACATTTGCGGATTCAAGAGATCCCATGTTTGAGAAAACCAAAACTAAAAATCAAATTTTCCATTGCAAAGATGCTTTCAATATCCACTGGAGGCTGTTGTGATATTAAATGTTGGTCGGTGCAAAAATGACTAAACACTAAAAGTGATTTAGGTAGTGTTCACGATGACGTCTTACCAAGAACCTGTGTGTATAAAAACATAAACTTTAGATGTTGCGTAGCGAATAGTATTGACAGGTGAGTTCTATAGCTGCGTCAATGAGCCCCTGGAGCGGCCGACAGCCTCACACACCAGATTCGTCACACCCAGCGGCGGCTGGCTGTATTGCTCTCCGAGGAAAGATCAGAGAAAAACATGTACCGTTGCCCCCTTCTGATTGATACCACCATAGTTTTCTGACAGTCAAGTCCTCCAAACGCCGTCCTCAAATGGCTCGAAGGAAAACTCGAAGGAAAAAGGGAAGAAATAAACCGTCACGTCCTTTTTAAAAAACATTTGCTTGCCAATTGGCCCTGTCCTTGGTGCTGAAATCTAACGTTATGTTCATAATCGTTAATGTAGTTGTATTGTTTTAAACAATGACTTAACAAGCGCAATGGGTGGAATATACGGCTTGGCATCTTTTATTTCATACCAATTTTGATCAACTGAAATACTTGAGCTCCTGATACTCCAACATGTCTTCGTCTGGACACGTAGTTTTTTTTCCCGAGACATATTTCAAAACTCTTGAGCAAATATCTTAGCGCCATGGTTTTGGCATTTTCAAGCAACTGAGTTGCAACAAGCACGAGCGAGAAGGCCAAGGATGCATGGTTATCTTCCTCCCGTCAACCCTATTTTCCATGACCTTTCTTCATGGCCCCGCTTTCGTTACACTCAATCTTCTCAATATACCACAGAAAAAGGCTGAATAGATTTCCTTTCCCATTTCCTGCCTGGCCGTATCTGGTCAGCAGCATTCATGATGTCTTCCCAGCCGGAAACTCGAACTCAGAACAGCTGCAACCTCCGCTTAATACCCGCTGTCGGTTTCTTAATTTAATTCTGATTCTAACTTTGTACAGTTATTTTGAGCTTATTCAAAGGTATAAGAATCAAGAAACTATGAAATGAAGATCAAGACAGTGGATGCATTGGTGTTGTCCTTAGAAGTATTTTGGATGTGCATTGAATACTGACCTGGATTCTCTGGCAGGCAAGTCACCAACGCCTTCATGCGAAGTCCTTTTGAATTTCAACCTAGAGACATCTTTCACATCTTTCAAATATACTTATCCCAAAACAATTGCCATAACTGAAACTGAAACTTTTAAACCGCTGAATCCGCCTTCCAAAATTAGTTATTCAAAAATTTTCAAACCTTAGGCTTTCTTAATTATCTGTATCAGATATTTTAGTTTACTATTTTCTGAAGAATGATGCTGTGTTAGTGGAACGACGTGTACAGCTGTGACGCAAATTCGAGACAAAAGTATATTATAACATGTATGAACTTTTGTTTTTCTTCCAGTTAAAGACAAGAGAATGGCATCTTCAATTCGCATCTTCAGCTATATCTGCCTCTTAGTAGTAATCTACGCATGCGTGGAGGTAACGCATGCGCAGGAGGAGGAGGAAGTTGAAGCGCCTGAGGAGGGAAAATACTACAAAAACCTGGCAAACTACCTGCGCCTGCTCACAAGGCAAAGGTTGGTCCTGATACCGTTGTACCTACATCAGTAATACCTAATACCAGCTCAGAAAAGAACACGAAACAGTCATGATATCAAGTACCGAAGATATCAACCAAGGATTGAGGTTTTCAAAAACTCATTCTTTCCTAGAATTATCGCAGAATGGAACTCGTTGTCACCAAGTACAGTAGGGGCATTAGATAGCTTTAAACAATGTCTAGAGTTAGATGTTCAAGGGTTAGTTGTAACAAGTCGTTCGGTGTAATGTAGCTAGCTGCCGCCGCGCTGCGTACCTGCAAAGCTTTGTTACGCCGAAGGGCGGTTATACCGGCTATACAGATTGGTCTTCCTCCGGCTAACTCTTCTACTAGTTGATGTTGAAAATCTGATTTTAGTTTTTCTTAACGTTTTGGGTCTCCGCGGTAAAGATAGTTCTGTAGATGAATTTTAATAAAAGACCCAGATAAGCCTAACCCTTAAGTTATTCTAGAAGAGTGACGTCACCCTAAGATACAGTAAAGTATTATCTGTATCTCTGTGAGTTGCTGTGATTTCCAATATGCATAATGCATCATTGCCATAATCTCTAGGCATATTTAGTTGGGGAATGGGACGATGAAATCGGCCACCGGAGTCACCATTCGGCCCCGTAGATGGTAACACCGATGGCCAATTTGAGCGTTTCCTGCCCCCGAACCAATCTGCCTGGAGATTAGCATTGCCATACATTTTCAATGCTGCATCTTTGCCATACATTTTCAATGCTGCATTTTTGCCAAACATTTTCAATACTGCATTTTTGCCAAACATTTTCAATGCTGCATTTTTGCCATACATTTTCAATGCTGCATTATTGCCATACATTTTCAATGCTGCATTTTTGCCATACATTTTCATTGCTGCATTGTTGCCATACATTTTGCAGCATTTTTGCCAAACATTTTCAATGCAGCATTTTTGCCAAACATTTTCAATGCAGCATTTTTGCCAAACATTTTCAATGCAGCATTTTTGCCAAACATTTTCAATGCAGCATTTTTGCCAGACATTTTCAATGCAGCATTTTTTAAAAACATTTTCAATGCTGCATTTTTAGGTCTGGAAAGAAAGCATGAATAAGTCCGCAAAGCTGTTGTTTCTGATTGACTTGTTTTTCTTCCATGGAATTGTTTTACATGTCGTTACATGTATTTGGCCGTTTTCAGAGTGATGTAAAGCCCAACAGCAGGGCCCTGCTTGTGTAGATTATTTAAACACTGCGATCACAGGTGACCTCACACTGCAGCAGGTGTCATGTTTAATTGCCATCTCCGGAGACATGACGTAAGGAATGACGTTCATAGTGACGCAACTACATTGAAGCTTCTTTTTGTTCCTGTTTCTTTGAACATGATCCGATGTAGAAATTCTCTTTGTCGGTAAATACAAAACAATGTATCGGTTTGCCATAGCTATGGGGGACCAATCTCCTGAAATCCGGCCTGAAAAAAAGCGGCCTGCAGTTTGATATAAGCTTCTTAAACAAACAAACAAACAAACAAACGAGTAAGCGAACGAACTCCTCAAATCACACCTCGTGATTAAACACTTGTGCTTCAACAAAATTGTTCATTTCTTATTTATTTATAATTATTTATTATTTGCCTAAAATCTATTTACCAAAAATAGCTTACCAACTTTTTTACTATTCTAAGTCGTTGCGTTGCATATTCCTGCATCTCGCCCCTTTAATTGCCTTGATCTGTTAGGATATCAAAAGTTAATGTATGTCACTCTATAGAAGCTTATGATGGGTATCTGTTATCCCAGGTATGGGCGGCGGTCTGCTCCTGACTACGGCAGTAGGACCCAGTACCGCTACGCTCCTCCCTACCCACAGGACATCGTGCACACTTTAGATATGGACGGTAAGTACAACATTACTATACCTAACCCTAACCCCTTACCCTAACCCACAGGACATCGTGCACACTTTAGATATGGACGGTAAGTACAGCCGTACCTAACCCTAACCCTTGCCCCTAACCCTAACCCACAGGACATCGTGCACACTTTAGATATGGACGGTAAGTACAGCCGTACCTAACCCTAACCCTTGCCCCTAACCCTAACCCACAGGACATCGTGCACACTTTAGATATGGACGGTAAGTACAACATTACTATACCTAACCCTAACCCTTGCCCCTAACCCTACCCCACAAGACATTGTGCATACTTAAGACATAGACGGTAAGTGCAACTGTACCTAACCCTAACCCTAGCCCCTAACCCTAACCCTTGCCCCTAACCCTAACCCGCAGGACATTGTGCACTCTCTAGACATGAACGGTCAAATTAAGATTATTGAGTGATATTTGAGAGGTCATATAGGAAGACCTTGCAGATCATACGGCGCTCACTGGCGTACCATTGGGATATATGTCACTTAGCCACTGTGGCCCAATCCGCGGTCCATTTAATCTAGTAGGCCGATATGTTCTGCATAATCCTGCGTGGGAGAAATCTTAGAGCAGGAGTGTAGAGGTAAAATCGATGTAGATCAGTGTTGAGCCCTTCAAGCCCGTAAGCCTATCATTAAACTAATGGACAGAACTGTTCAATATTCACGCAAACTGGTCTGATGGAATGTTTGCCATTCGTGAGAAATCCACTAAATCGAGATGACTCCCTTCTCCAATCTTTCGCGTTTAATTTTTTCTTTTGTAATTTTATTTTTAAAACTTTTTTTTATTCACAAAAACAAATAAGGTTTTTATGTTTCACGAGCAAAAGATCCCTATAAACGCGTGCTTTCTGTCCAATGCTCAGAAATCTATGTGAATGAAATAAAAACAAAGACAAGCAAGGTAATTAGAAAAATGTGCTGCGATTCGGCTAGCCCGACCCTCTATCCACAGACCAAAAGCTGTGTGTTAGAAGTGCCTTCTTAACTTAATCAATTCTCTTGTCATTCTCAAATGCAGCGACAACTCAACACAGCATTACTGAAAGTGAAGATGTCATTCAGGTATTCGTAAGTCCCTAGTGTTTCGATAATGTCGACGGGGTGAACCACCTACTTGATATTCTTAACTCACAGTGCCCGATAAAAGAAAAGGGCTACTTCAGGACAATCATTATAATTCCTTAATAGAAGTTACAGTTCATGTACCGGTTGTCTTCACTGTAAAGACGTTCGCTGCCACGTCGTCTCCAGCAGAAAGTAAAGAAACTTCTGCCCGCTTGAGTACGTGATCACCCTGCAAAGCTACCATATCGTGTCAACGTGACGACCCCGGTGCACTTATCAACTCTGCAGACGGCGTCGGGCGCCTCTGAAGTCTGCCAATCTTTCAAACTTGCACTCCCGTGTCTACGTAAGAAAAACGCAGGACCACATTCGAGCAGGCTTTCCGAGGATTGGAAGTCAGAGTTGCAGTTTAGGCTATGTTGATCTGACTAAATGGATGACATCCGCGCGCGCATTAACTTTCGTTCGTTTCCAAAAAAAAGTTTTCGACCATACTATATATCGTACAAAGAAGCTGCAAAATGAGCAAATTGAAAAATATTAAAAAACGACACTTATGTCGCAGAATGCCAAAATCCATTCCAAATGACAAGAAGAAAATGTGAAGGAATGAAATTGAAGAGTCTATTATTCACCATGCCAATAAAATATTATTCTGTGTGTTTAGTCATTTGTTCAACCTTAATGACCACCTAGATTTCAAAATGAAGGCAACTTTTTTTGCCGAACTTTTTTTTTATTCGCACGCTCGCATCAGTTTTGGGTTTCCCAGAAGATGTTGTCCATATAATCAAATCAACATGGCCTAAGTCATAGTTGCAGATTTATGCTGACCCGCGGAGAAAGCGGTAAATAAAACACTCTGTCCGCGTCCCAAGGGGGACAAGCCGACTGTAAACGCCTTCCACCACTCAACACGTCTTAAGTGTGCGCTACTTGAACACCGTACCGGGCTCTTAATGTAGTTGTCTTGGAGAAAAGAAATAAGTCATCGAGCTGCTAATGGATCTGTGGTAAGGGCGGGGCCGGTCAAACCTGTGGCTTCGACTAGTACTGTTTTCTTTAAACATCTCGTCTTGAATCTCCGCAGTTTTTAAATAACATTTGCTATTCAAAAATCAGGTCTTCAAAATCAGATAATCAGTCGGCTCGTTTAACAAATGACACAAAGCTTAGCTGAACGAATTAGAAGTACAAGTATTTCCTTTCCTGTAAAAATCACGTAAATTAATATTAATATTGATGATTATGATGTCTTGCTCGTTGTCATGCTTTCGTCAATTCTTGAAAGTGGCTGATTACCTTCCCTGGTATTTTTACATATTGTCATGTCAAATTAAAAGATGTTTCATTGCTATGTATATCTAGTTGCTTCATTAAGAAATTCATCCCCTTGAGATACTGTTATCCAAGTTAACTGGTTGCTGATAATGTAATAATCTATTATTTCATATTTTGACTTTACTGACATACTTTGACTTAACTCTAGGTGTTGGAGTATTTTCTGTATAGAATAATTCACACTGGAACTAGAATATTGTTGTTGTTTTTCAGGAGACGGGAAAATCTCGCCGTACGAGTTGGGCAGAATCCTCTAGCAGCAGGCCGCAGACGACACCCTCCGTAGTCACGTGACTGTCACGTGACGGTCACCTAGCAACCATCCCAGAAATCTCAGCCCCGATCACTTCGGATTGAATCAGAATACAGAAGCGAAATCTGAAAAATTCCTTTGCATAGAATACGTATACGTTCATGTAGAATTCACCGTTATATACAAGAATTTATATCAAGAAATGTACAAACTCAAAGAATATACACGGGGTGTTACAATGCGTACGGTAGAAGGCAATCTACCATCAGCGTAACAATAAACACCATTGTTGAAAACTGGTTCATTGCAGAACAAAGTTGTAGAACTGAAATACCGTGTAGGGGCTGATATTTGGGCAGCAGCATAATAATAAATACAGGACTTCATTCTACATCGTTGTTGGTTTGTGTGATCTGTTTTCGAATTTCCGCAACTGCATTGGTTAACTGTCTCAACCCACTGAATGTCCATATTATGACTTAAACAAGAATGATACTGCAGACACTTCAATAGCGTCTGTTTTGTGGACAAAGAGTTTTTAAGATTTACTTTTCATGATGCCTGATGATCTTGTGTAGAACCAACTCCTATTTTGGGGAACATAAACTTTAAATGTCTATAACCTCTTTGAAGCTTGTGTGTTACGCCGAAGGGCGGTTATACCGCCTATACCGATACAGATATACCGATACAGATTCTGCAAATCCTGACCAGTGGGAGGGCTTCTAAAACTATAATTCAATCAGACTTGGACAAACCCATACTTGGCAGAGACACTCAGAGAGCACGTAATATATAAACTCTTGTGCCTACATGCCACAAATCCATCATTAGAAAAAGAAGACCTTTTTATATCCTAGTCTGCCAGCTTTAAACAAACACTTTCCGCCTTCGTGTCTGTAATTATGATCAAACATCCGCGACCAACTTGAACAGGAATGGCGCCATTCCCAAAACAGGCTCGCTGGAAAGGTCAGCGGTGAACCTCTTTGATGTCATACTGCCTCATCTGGATTTATATCTGTGACTGTCATTATGACCGATCATCCATTGGAAAAGGAATGGACAAGATCCATTTTATTCCAAATAAATGTCAATTTGAATATGTTTGTGAGTAATACTGACGGTGTGTATAAGTAAACAGACGTGTGGTAGCGTTAAAGAATTCCTGTACCTGTTCGTTCCGAGCCTTTTTGGGAAGTCTGTTTTTATTAGACGTGGGTGGACATGTATACGGAATGACAGCCATCTTTTTGAGCTGTTAACGCAACAAGGAGACCATTAAATTACATGTATCTAAAAATGGCAACTACAAGTGCGTGTGTAGCTGTCGCTTGTGCTTGTGCTCAAACAGGTCGCTCCAAGACGTGTGTGGACATTTCTCTATATCCATCTCCTTTTGCGTCGGTATTAATTCATGTCGCTATTCATTTTGAATGCTTGTTTAAGATAACCAGCTTGCCTCTATCACAACCAACAAGACTTCTTCCTATTTTACGCTCGTCTTCTCAGTTTTCTCTCTTTTCTTTCACCATTTGTCTGATATGCACTCTATACACAAATACTGGGGCGAGTATGATGACAATCTGGATGAAAAAGAGACTGCGAACTAGAAATAAGAAAATAAAGTGAAAATATCATTACTTGATGCCGGGTTTAAATAAAGCAGAATCTCCGGCTCTGAATAGTACCAGGTTTACACTACAAGTGGGTTTAAATAAAACAGAATCTCCCGCTCTGAATTGTACCAGGTTTACACTACAAGTGGGTTTAAATAAAACAGAATCTCCCGCTCTGAATTGTACCAGGTTTACACTCTAGTGGGCTTCACAAAGCTACAGTAACGACGACAGTTGTGAGCCTGCTATTCTGTGCATATCATCTTTTGCTGTTATGTTTATTATATCTAATAGCCTTGACTCCATAGATATCCAACTATATGTCCTTTTGAAAAAAAATCACAACAGCTTTAGGTGTAGTTATGAATAAGTATTTCCAGTGCATTTATTGAAGATCCTATCCTGTCAGCTATGGCCAATGGTGGTCTTGACGGAATCCTTTCATGGTCTCAGTTTTCCTCAATGAAAGATAGAACAAACACAGTGCATAAATCTTAACATCTTTCTTATTTTCTAAATCATTGAGACCACATTTCTCTGTTGACATCAAGATACTTCGGATTGTTGAATTAACTAACAATGATAGTGGCACAATTGAAGACGATTGCTAAGCCTCGCTACTTTCGAGCTGATCCGAGGCCGCGTCCCGCCCGAATCGCAAGGACGGCTTGGCCGGGTTGTGTCTCCCGAAGCGGTAGGCAGGCGCAGACCGGTCCCCTTGCCTGCCAAATCGTAGAGTCGGCTCGAACGGGTCGTACTTCTTGCCGAAGCGAAGGGACGGCTCCGACGGATCGAAGCTTTTCTCCGCCCGAAGGGTCTCCAATGCCGGGTCGGTGCTGTCTCTTCCGAAGCGGAGCGATGGCTCGCTGGGGTCGAGGCTTTTGCCGAATCGAAGCGTGGGCTGGGCCGGGTCGAACTTCTTGCCGAAGCGGAGAGCTGGTCGGGCCGGGTCCAACTTCTTCCCGAAGCGCAGGTTGGGCTGAAACGGGCTGGTTCTGCCGAAGCGCATGGCCGGCTCTGCCGGGTCGTAGCCGCGAACTGAGGGGACGGACCGCTTCCCGAACCTCGGCATCCTCTGACGGTCACGGCTGATGAACCATCTCTGTCCGTTTGGACCTGCAAAACAGCGTAATCATATTTCATAAAACATAAAGATTATCACAGTGGCTGATGTATTCAAAGTATAAAAAAGCTTATTTTCTGTTATTGTTTAAAACATTTTGGTACGGAACAAATTCATAGAGACAATACCTGGAACACGTAACAGTAGAAGAATATATAAGTACCAACACCAATTGACATAATTACATGTGTTGGATATGTGTAAATATAGAAATATCTATGTAACCATTACTATATTTAAAACTATATATATAAAAGTCCTTGAAAATCTACGGATGTTACTGGAAATTTATTCTTCAACCTCTCATAATAATTACTATTGGCGATGTCAGCTCAGCAAATTCGCCAAATTATAGTTCATGGAGATTATTGCTAAATATACGGTGGATCAAAATAACACACGAAAGGCCATAACTCCAGCATGGGGTTAACCTTTCAGAAACAGTCCAACATGTAATAATAACTAAAGGCAGCGGTTGTCTCTAATCTTCAGCCGGTTTGATCTACCGGAGAATCGATGTCACATCTGACAGGTTGATTCCCAAACCGACACATGGTTTTGGCACCGCGAATTGTGATAATTGCGTCATAATTGAAGCCAGCATATTCAGCACTACGACCGAAGTTATGATTATAAAGTCATCACGCCTTGTGAGGTTAACCATATGTGTCATGGTATAATTTTCCTGTGATATAAGATGAGAAAGATATCGAGCGTTTCTAATACCAACCTTTGGCCCGTAGGTTGTTTTTGTGGAGTAAGTAATGAGAACTGGATGTCGGGAGATGTAATTATGTGCCGTTTGAAGCTAAGGTAAGGTCTTGAACAGAATTTACTTAACCTTTTCTTGTGAACTAAAGTTTTGCCATTATGTGCATTGCAGATGTTTCATAATAAAGAACGTTTCTCGACCAATCTCAATCTCCAAGCAGATCCTCGTAGGCAAGATGAGTCTGTTTGCCCAGTTATCCTCCGCAGTTACAGACGGCCAAATGCTCCTCAAGAAATCTGCTTGGAGATTACACCGATCTATGGAGGCCGAGGTACCGACTTTTCTTTTGAAAAACAGGGTCTGTGCTAAATCGTCGCACGTGTTCACTACAGACATCAAGAACAGGCCGTTAGATATCTTATTTCACACGTTGTACAATTTGAATAAAAGTGGTTCCAGAGTCCAGACACAGCCTGCTTGAAATTAAAATCCTGCGTCAAAATCGTAACGTGAAGATGACGCGACAGTTATATCTCCAATGGCGTAAAGCGCGTCATCCGTGATAAAAACAGCAGTGAAAGACGCGCATATAACGAACCACATAGGTCTTCCGGGGGATTAGAAGACGTCAGCTGCGGTGAGAAGGTGATTTCTAATCAGGTGCTCCTCTTGTGATTCACAGAACACGCGGGGCTTGATGAGCGTAGGTGTCAACATGACGTACAGCCCTTACCACGGCGCCGGGCGTTCTTACCGCAGATATATCATAACTTCTTCGTCTTCTTTCATACTTTCCTTTATGTGTTAACGCATCAGAGGCTTTCTAATCGATGGGTTTGATAGTCGTTAGTACTTGTGAGTTCTGGTATCAATATTAAAGATCAGGAAGATACTACACTGCGAATTTATGACCCTGGTACAATAACTGAATGCACCTAAGATGCATTTCTTTAAATGTTTCTACTACGCTTAACAATTAATTTTTCGTCCAGTTTTTTTCTATTTCAGTGAGCCCATAAGCCTCACCAAGGACCACCTTTTAACAGTCCCCGATTATGAGATTTTAAGTCTGCTACATCAGAACAATACTTTTTTTCTAAAAGTCTGTGGAGGTAAAAGAGGTATGAGTTTTTGTAAAAAAAAGAGAGAGATGCTCTGGTGATGTAACCATTGCAGGCCAAAGAGTGCATGAGATTTCCGCATGTCGTTCCCTGAGAGAACATCGTTAGTGTATTCTGTCTTGGAAACAAGATCACTTCGCCCCCAGAGTGTGTCATTAGAGATTCCTGGAATTTTTCCACATGCACATGCCACATATGGCAGTCCTAATAGTTCACCTATGGTATGGAAATACTGTTTCTTAACTCACAGGGAGTACAATTCGTAGCCAGTCGCTTGAACTAGCAGACAGTTGTCAGACAAGAAGCCCCAACCTTATCTTTTAAACATATAGGTAGTAAATGAAAGACTGAATGACGTTCTTGCAATAGCTTTGGATCTGATGAAATTATTTTTAAACAATTCCCACTTGGGTTTGGTGAAGATATGTATAATTACAAGGGTAGTTTTTACTCTATATCAAAAGGAAAATTCTTAAAGTTGTCATGAATAATAACTGCTTCCAGCTCTAATGGACAAGAGGTATCAAACTTTATCTTATTTGAAGAATGGCCTATAATAAGCATACAGGGTTTAACCAAGGGATGAAAGCATGGGAAGAATCGTAAAGAACTATCTACACCGGGGTATGATTTGCTTCGATGAGAATCTATAAACATGAAGGGCGAATGAAAATTGTACCAAATTGCTCAAAGAAGGCAATTTGTTTTCGACAATGATCAGCTATTAAATGCTGGAGAAGAACAAAGAGGGGCTTACAGCATATAATCAGCGTAACGATGATGGGACTTCTAAGATGTATTTTCGCTGTGTAGATCATGATTTTTTTAATTCCAACATGTAATCACAAGACGTGGTGGGGATACACTCAAGTTCTTCAACTTATATTATTGCCGCCACTAACACAGGGGACAATACAATACTCATTTCACCTGAGCGAAGTGGGGAACGTCGTGTTAAGTGCCTTTCCCAAGGACAAGATCGGTGGCATGTCGGGACTCGAACCTGGGACCTCTTGGTTCCAAGTCGAGCACTCTGCTGTTACGCCACGTGATCCCACATATGATCATGATTTCTTGTCTTTACTGATACATTGGGCACGCACTGGGCATAGCAATCTTACCTATCACTTCCGAAATGTCCTCTGTATCCACAGCTCTGCGGTTCCGGATTGCCACCTGTTGCCGACTGCCCAGCTCATGGGAATCCGGATACGCCGTTTGGGCCCAAATGACTGGTATTCCGGAATACGTCATCAGTACCACGCCCACCGCTAGGAGTTCTAAAGTTCTCATGGCCGCTCTTCTGTCTTGTGTATCTGAATACAATGATATTCAGTTTTAGATTTCAAAGGTTTATAGTAGAATCTTTATGTGACCTATCGTATCTAGTCTACCTTGGCGTCTCAATGAATGTGTACCATATACAGCAAGTATTCACATAGAACATCTAATAGGCGGGATTATTTTGTGTTTTGCTTGTTGCTCAGTGTTTTTTTTTTTGTTTACTGCAAAGGCATGGATTACTATTAACATCAGCATCATAGAATGACCTCGACAATCTCCATCTTTCCAGCATGGACATTCCTGATAAGGGAATACGTATTCTATGCTTTCTTTTGATCGTGGTGGCTCTAATCAAATCCTATGAATTATCTTAGTCTTTACGGTGTTTCTGTTTTGAGGTGATAAGATCAAGAAGTGACAGACTGACAAAGTGGGAAGTAACAATACCATACTGTTGGCGTATCTTTTACAAAATGAAGAACAATTCTTCATCCAGATACAACACATTAAAGTATCCCCACTACGTGGGCGATAGACATCAGAATAGTATAGGTACGAGACGTTTCGTAGATCTACCGGAAGTTTCCGCCTTAAGGTACAGGTAAACTGATTCCTTGTGAGATATAACAGATACCTAGGCATCTTTTCCTAGATCCAATGTGTATGGGGGTCCCATATGTTAGGCTAGATGAATATGGCCGGCCCGGCGTGTTTTAAACGCAGGTAAATCATTCAAAATGTTGCTTTTGGGGAAACAGCTACTTTGGAAAAACACCAGTTTGGCTTATTGATGGGTACTCTACCCGATACGTCACTGTCGTAAGGCACTGAGAGAAAGTTCGTGTCAGTCCACAATTGGCATAAAAAAGCACTTTAAAGCGCACATCACCTCTCTCAATAGACAATGTAAATCCAATTTTCTTTAACTCTCTCATGTGTCTACCGTGGCGTCAATGGCCCACGGGTTAAGGTATTGGACATGAGATCGAGAGGTTAGGGTTCGATTCCCGGACGTCACATTGTATAAGGCCATGGCTTTTATTCTTGAATACAACTTTGTGTCCTTGAGAAATGCACTATACACGATTTTCCTCACTCCCCCCAGGTGTAAAATGACTTCGGTTGGGGAGGTAAAAGGTGGCTGAAGAAGAGGGATGGTCTCTACCTTGCAATACTGTGCAGTAGATACATGCACAGTAGGTAACAGCTCGTTGACGTTACGACTTGTCGTGAGGGTACATTAGTCGTATAAGTACAAACTGGGGGCATACGTGGGGCAGTCACGCGTGTGTCCTGCGAATTTCAGCTGTCTTGTTACAGAAAAGCCTGCCTTTGATCATTGTAGGCGGAATGTTTGCCAGTCGTCTTCTGTCCCTCCTAAATCTTATATTTGTCCGGACATACGCACGTTATTCATATTATTAATACCATGACAGTGATGAATTCTAGGTTAAACATTCTTTCTCCAACGATGCCCAGGCAACCATATCTAAATTATTACACATCGGCGGATAGAGGGCTAGAAATATCCCTATTATTCCAAATACACATAGCTCAACGATCGTACAGCCTTGTATATATTGGCTCAACGCAATGTGGTCAATTTTATATTCCTGTTAACACATAACACACAGTGAGCGAACTAAGTATAAAGTGTCTACATCATCAAAACTTTTTCTCAGACGATAAGGAGTTTGGTTGAATGCCAATCATTGTCACAGTACTTTCAAATTTATGTTTAGCCCACTATACTTAAAATACGTTGTTATAGACTGGTGATAAAGCACCCCAGTGTTTGGCTGGTTAGAACTGGTACGTGGAGCTCAGTATCTGTAACATCTACCCCGTGCAAATTGGCAGCTGACTTGAACGTTTAGCGACGCTAGCGCGGTAATATTTTACAACCCTGCGGCGACAGATATTTTGTTGAGCGCGGTCTTTCTGTGACAAATGAGTTTGTGAATGGTATTTTAGCCACATGGACAACGCTGAATTGCCGCAAAACTAGCTAATGGTCATTTTGACAATCCCCTTATTTTGTTTTCTTCCCAAAAACATTATTGTCCTGCCGTTAATTGCCTGCTGTATGCGGTAAAAGCTCCGTACACTCAGTGGGTGAATAGTCATCGATTTGAATGAAAAGGACAGCGTCTGTGTGTGTGTGTGTGTGTGTGTGTGTGTGTGTGTGTGTGTGTGTGTGTGTGTGTGTGTGTGTGTGTGTGTGTGTGTGTGTGTGTGTGTGTTGTGTCGTCGTCGCG